TCTCAGTGTCCCCTGCCCTGCTCTCAGTGTCCCCCACCTGCTCTCAGTGTCCCCTGCCCTGCTCAGTGTCCCCTGCCCTGCTCTCAGTGTCCCCTGTCCTGCTCTCAGTGTCCCCTCAGTGTCCCCTGACCTGCTCAGTGTCCCCTGACCCACTCAGTGTCCCCTGCCCTGCTCTCAGTGTCCCCCGCCCTGCTCTCAGTGTCCCCCGACCTGCTCTCAGTGTCCCCTGACCTGCTCTCAGTGTCCCCTGACCTGCTCTCAGTGTCCCCTGCCCTGCTCAGTGTCCCCCGCCCCGATCGGGACACGGCGGAGCAGCGGCGGGGCCGCCAGGGGGCGCTGCTTCCCACCCGTCCCGGGGGAGGGACCGGGAACGGGACCGGAGGGACACGGAGAGGGATACAGGGATAGGGATACTGGGATAGGGACAGGGGACAGGGATACCGGGACAGGGACACGGGACAGGGACACGGGAATGGGACCAGAGGGACACGGACAGGGACACGGGACAGGGATACCGGGACAGGGACACTGGGACACGGACATGGGATAGGGACACGGACAGGGACACTGGGACAGGGACACTGGGACAGCGACACGGACAGGGACACTGGGACAGGGACACTGGGACAGGGATACTGGGACAGGGATACTGGCACAGGGACACTAGGACAGGGACACAGGATAGGGACACGGACAGGGACACTGGGACAGGGACACGGGACAGGGACACTGGGACAGGGATACTGGGACAGGGATACTGGGACAGGGACACGGGACAGGGACACTGGGACATGGACACTGGGACATGGACACTGGGACAGGGATACTGGCACAGGGACATGGGACAGGGACACTGGGACATGGACACTGGGACATGGATACGGACAGGGACACTGGGACAGGGACACGGGACAGGGACACTGGGACAGGGATACCGAGATCCCTCAGGACAGGGATACCAGGACAGGAACCACTGGGACATGGATACTGGGACACCAGGACAGGGATACTGGAATCCCTCAGGACAGTGACATCGGGACAGCAACACTGGGATACCTTGGGACAGGGACCACCAGGACCCCCCAGGTCAGGAACACCAGGACACCCTGGGACAAGGACCACCAGGACCTCCTGGGACAGGGACTACCAGGAGCCCTCAGGGCAGGGACCCAACACCAGCTGGGACCCCTGGGGTCACCCTGAGAGCCCAGAGGGTCGTGCCCGACCACGGCAGTTCCTGACAGCGCCGGTTATCCCATGGGGACTGACCTAAGGGCACCTGTACCCGCCCCAGCCCGGGCTGTGTCACCTCACACCCGGCCTGGTGTCTGCAGAAGAGCAGCAGCAGCCCCTGGGACTCGGGGGGAAACAGGCAACAGTGTCCTACAGTGTCCTAAAAACAGCCCTAAAGGTGGAAAGTTCCACCTGCTCTTCACCCCCCAGGACACCCCAACCTCTGCTGCAGCCTCGTCTGCCCAAACAACTGACACGACTCGTCTCTAACTCAGCCCATCTGAAGATTTCTGGCATCAGCCAACACCACAAAAAGCATCTGCTCGTCCAGCCAGGCCAGGCTGATGTTCACGAGGCTCTGGAGGTGAGGCAGGTTTTCATGTGGGATGCTCTGAAATAAATATCCTCCAGGGATCCCACAGATCCAATTTAACCCTTCTGGTGACCCAGCACTTGGAATTTCTCTTTCCAATCATCTCCTCCTTCTCCACCCTCCCCACCACCACCTCCAGTAGCTCCAGTGCCAGGGAACAGCACAAAGCAAAGTGAACCTGCCCAAGATGCAGCTGCACCCCTCAAAATAAAACATAAATCCCTCAAAAGCCAAAATAAACCCAAGAGAAACCCCTCACTGCCACACAGAGGTGGGCAGGAGGCATCTGAGTGGGAGCACTGCAAAATTTCAAGGTCTGGTCTCAGGCACCCCCAGTATCATCCCCAGGAGCTCAAAAGCTGTGGTGTGGCAGAGATTATCCAAAATAAATTAAAATGGAGTTACCAAAGGAATAGGCAACATTTTCTCAGATGGAAATGCCGCAACAGTAGCCATCAACAGCTGCTCTAAACCAAACCCACCCAACTCCAAACCAAGCAGAACCACGGCTTTGGAAGTGTCAAAAAAAAAAAAAATTGGGAGAGATTCCACCTCATTTCTCCAGGAAGTTAAAATATTAGGGGAAAAAGCAAAGAGCTCTCCGTGAGGAAGCATCCTCAGCCCGAGGGCAAGGAAGCAAGAGGAGTCTGTTGGGAAGAGGGACACAAACACACACACACAGTGCCCCAGGGGCAGATCTGTGTCAGCTCACTCGCAGAGCTCACCAAATGAGCCAAAACTCTGCCTGCCCCCCCCCCCCCAGTTTGGTGCAACAAAACCCAGCCAAGCCCGGCAGCAAAACAAGCCCGGGGCTCCCTTACCTGAGAGGGGCTGCAGGGCCTTCTCCAGGGAGGGTTCCTTGCGGAGGGGCCGGCCGAGCGGCGCGTCCTGGCCGCCGAACAGCGCGGGGCTCTCGGGCAGCTTCTTGCGCACGGTGCCGGCGGCGGCAGCAGCGGTGCCGGCGGGGCCGGGCGCTCGGCAGCTGCCTATTGCACTTGTGAAAAGGTTGGTGTGCTCCTCGGCGCCGGGGGGCTCCGAGCCGGGCGTGAACCCCCCCAGGGACAGGGCCGGGGAGCTGTCGGAGCAGTCGATCTGCAGCGGGGTCTGCAAGCCCAGCGCCAGGGAATTGGACTCGGGAGGCTCCCTCCTGACCCACTGCTCGTCTCTGCCCAGCAAACCCTTCGAGGGCGACAGGTGCGGGCACGCCATGTGGCACCTGTGCTTCTCCTTGTGTTTGTACCTCTCCCCCACCGCCTCCTTCCCGAACCTGTAGCGCTTCAGGGACTCCAGCACCGTTCTGGAGGAGCTGTTGGCCGCGAGAGTGTCCATGGCGACCTGCGGCTGCTCCGAGGAGGAGCG